AAACAAACAATCTCAGTTTCGTTATGGATTGATGAAGTAGAAAAGAACTGTGATCCAATATTCTTCTTTCCATCTGTACCAGTAGCGTTTGGACATGTCTTTGCAATTTATACGGCTAACCGAACATATAATGAAGAGACACGCGGTATACCTTTGTACGTTTGTTTCAATGCTCTCTATTGCCCATTTATGAAACCAATGATAGAAATCAATGGATCATATTGTATACCATTTTTGAGTTTGAATTTGAATCTAACCGAATTATCTGTCAACGATGCGATAGCTAAAACTTATCGATATTGTTCTTTGCCCAATGAAAGAAACGTATGTAATAATTCCGAAACAATGTATCAATGCAAAGAATCTTTGAGATGTATTTCGATACGGCGTCTGTCCGATGGCGTTGTCGATTGTTATGGAGGAGACGACGAAAAGACAAACTTTACTTGTTCATTAAAAGATAAAATTCGAATTTCATGTCCTTCGGGTGACGTATGTGTTTCACATTTAATGGCAGATGAAGTCGCTTCACAATGTCTATTTGGTGTTGGCAATACATACCTCGAAGGAACTCCAACGTCTTTGTCATTTCCTATTGTTTGCGACGGTTTTATCGAAGTTAATAAACATATGTTTGCCGACGTCATGTATTGGAATGATAATAAAACCGAACTTGTGACGGATGAAACTCATTGTGAGGAATGGCCGTGTAATAATATTTATACTCGTTGCGATGGATTCTGGAATTGTCAAGATGGTAATGATGAATTGAATTGTCCTTTATTGAACCCATGTTCACCAGACGGGTTCGAATGTCTATCACCTGAAACATTTAAAATTACTTGCTTACCAGCATTCAAAGCCGGAGGTAATCATACAGATTGTATTGGTGGAACTGACGAACGATTTTATTGTCGAAATAAACGCAACACCATCTTTTCTCCGATGGTAAGATACCGATGTTTTAATAGTTCATGGTGTATTATGGTCAATAATAGATGTGATGAGTATATCGATTGCCCATTCAAAGATGATGAAAAAAGTTGCCAACGGCTGAGCAACATTATACGTATTTGTGACGAACCTGCGATGTCGACTGAGAAACTTCTATGCAGTTTAGATGAAGGTGAAAAACCCAAAAGGAAAGTTTATTTTTCCTTGACTGAACGATCTCATATTGATCTTCAGCCGCAATCAATGATAAAATCAAACAATCGTCATATTTTCATAAATAAGAAGTTAGATAGAAACGAAGCCTGGTTCTGTAATCGAGGAATTCCATTTTTCTTCGGCGAACGAAAGTTAACCGATGAAAACATACGATGTTTATGTCCTGCTAGTTATTATGGTAATCGTTGTCAATTTCAAGCTCAACGTGTAGATATACTATTTCGTTTTCGTACATTTGATTTTCGCATGGTCTTTGAATTCGTCATTATGTTGATAGATAATACATCTCAAATTCATTCATTTGCTCAGAGAGAATTACTACCAATGCGTGATTGTAACCTTCGAGTTGATGTTACATTATCTTATTCACAACGTCCAAAAGACAACTCACTATCATATGTGATCCGAATAGATACATTCAACAAATTGACATTGGAATATCACGCTAGTTGGTTATTTCCGATACAGATTTCAGTTTTGCCTGTATATCGTATATCTACAATTCTTTCACTACTCAATAGACCAGCTACTATTGCTGAATATTCCACTTTTGGTTGTGTACATGGTGATTGTGTGTTAGCAGTTAATACACGAGAATCTTTTTATCGTTGTTCTGCAAGTTGGTCGGGAGTCGATTGTAATAAAAGAATTGATTCTTGCAATTGTGCACCAAGAACTCATTGCATTGGTTCGTCAAATAATCGTTCTATTTGTGTATGTCCTCTACCAATGTTTGGTTCTCGATGTTACCTTAAACGATCTTCATGTAACCCGAATCCTTATGAAAACGAAGGCATTTGTGTACCAACAGATGTCCGAATATCTGAAAACAATTTCACGTGTCTATGTCAAGGAGGATTCACAGGAATTCGATGCAAATATCGTCAATCTTTTATTGAAATCTCTTTTTCAAAAGCAAATTATGTTCCTGATTCATTTTATGTTCATTTTATTACTGTGTTGCATGATAATGATCCAATACGCGCAATTGTGACAAAGAAGATTGCTTATGATCAAGATTCGGTTGTCATTGGCATGTCAGATGAATTTCATCTGGCTTTTATTGATATCAACAAAATTTATTATTTAGGTGTCATTCAAACAGATTATATTTCATCAAAATATTATAAAGTATTTATTGAAGACTCAAATCAATGTCCATCTATTAATGAATTTTTGAATTCAACAATTTTAAAATTTGAGATTCTTCGCCGTATTAAATATTTTCAAAGACCATGGCGAGAACGGGTAACATTGCAATGTTTTCATGATCGTGAATATATGTGTTTGTGTACGAATGAGCGACATGCTAATTGTTTTCAATTTAATCATACGATGAAATATACATGTCAACAATCAACCTATTGTCACAATGATGGATAATGCTTTCAAAATCATCCAAAGTGTCCTTCATCAATACTTTGTTCATGTCCGGAATGTTTTTATGGATCAAAATGTCAATTTAAAATAAAAGGAATGAGTCTTTCGCTTGATGTTATACTCGGTTATCAAATACGACCTGATGTAGGAATTAATCAACAATCGAGAGCTGTTAAAATTAGTTCGATTATTGTTGCCATCCTTTTTCTACTAAGTATGATCAACAGTTTCTTTTCAATCAATACATTTCGATACAAAATATGTCAAGAAGTTGGTTGTGGTCTTTATTTATTTTCTTCGTCAATTGTCTCTTTATTGATTACTATTATGTTGACTTTCAAATTCATTTCTCTTCTCTTCATACAGACAAAAACAATCACAAACAAACTTTTTCATAATATTAACTGTTTATCAGTCGATGTTCTTCTTATAATTCTAATATCTATTATCGATTGTTTGCATGCATGTGTATCAATTGAAAGAGCAATTATGGTTATTAAGGATACTACATTCAATCTGGCAAACAGCAAGAAAATCGCCAAACGAATCATTTTGCTTGTTTTTGTTTTCGTCATTACAACGCATATACATTTTCCTTTGCATCGAAAATTAATCAATGATGAAGAAGAAAAAAGAATCTGGTGCATTGTTTCCTATTCATCCACAATTGAAAGTTTTGAACAAATAAAAAACTTATTTTATTTTATTGTTTCATTCTGTATTAATATCATTTCAGCAGTTATCATTATCATTATATCTGCTAAAAGCCGATCAAAAAACACAGAAACAGAATACCTATAGACAACAATTGTATGAACAATGGCATCAGCACAAGCATCTCATAATTAGTCCACTTATATTGGTTATTCTCGCTTGACCTCGTATCGTTCTTGCTTTAACTTCAGGCTGCATGAGATCAGCACGTGATCCTTGGCTTTTTCTTATCGGTTATTTTATTTCTTTTCTACCAGCTTTTCTTACTTTCTTTGTTTTTGTTTTACCTTCAAAGACATACAAAAACAAATTTAACGAATTCATCAGAATGATAATAATTAATATAAGAAAAATCTTTTAGATTTAAAATTGAAATAAATCATACAATATTATGCAGTATTTCATTATACATTCTATTCCTATGAAATGACTTTGATGTTAATTACTTTCAAGTGTTGATGAATATGTCAATGAAAATCAGTTACATATGTACACTACATTAAGGTTGAAATTTGAATGATTAAGAATAGTCATCAGCAATTTTTTATCGATTTCCGCTGATATAAAATGGTTTTGTGAAAGATGAAAGTAAAATTTACATCATTCGCTTCGCGTTCTTCTTGAATCGATTGATAAATATTCTTTATTGTGCACACTTTTTTTTGTAACACCAGAGCTGGACAAGTACGAGTACGTACTCGTACTCGAGGTGGTCAGTACTCATGTGTGTACTCGATCATCTAATATTTAAAATTCCAGATGAAGTGCGCGTCATGTGAAAAAGTTGTTATGTTGTTGTATACTTTGAGAATGGGAAGAATCAATTATGTCTTCTTTTCGATCGATGTGTACATATAAATGGTTATTTATGTGATATCAATGTGTATGATAGTCGCCATATTCTGTTGTCGTTTACAAAAACACAAACAAAAAATTTTTTCCAAAAAACAGAACAAAACTGTTTCGTTTGTGGGAATCGATTCCCATAAAAAAGAACAAAAGTGTTTCATTTTTGGGAATTTCCTTCTCATAAATGGAACAAAAAAAGTGTTCCGTTTTTGGGAATGACATATGTCTAGGGTGTGGGTGTGGGTGGGTGTGGGTATAGATGTGGGTCTTCTCTTTAGCCACACCCTACGCCCACACCCACACCCATATTGAAATTAATTTTCTTTTTTGTTTCGGTAGAAAGAAATTAATTTCGATTTCAAGTAAAAAGTTTAGAATATATGAGCAATAATACTATAACGTTTGGCGTAAGGTTTAGATCAACAAAAAACGTAAAATATATAATGAAAAACTAAACAGTGATCTTTTAGCTAAACATCCGTCCACGAACATTGAATTTATACACTTTGATTTTTGTTTTTTTTATCTATTACTTTACCGTATAGAGAGAGAAAGCCCGGAATGTCTTGCATCTTTCAGTATATTTACATTGAACATCAAAGACAGTTTAAAGTATACAAAATATATTAGAAAAAAAAAAGATATATTATTTTTTTAACAATACAGGATGTGTATATAAAGTTGTAATTTTTTAAAATTTCCTATATATATCTCGGTTTAGATAAATGATAGTTTAAAACATGTGACATGAATAGGGAACTGCAAACTGGTCCCGGTCCCGTGGGACCGATTTCGAGACTAAAAATGTTTTTTTACGGAACCAGGACTGACACTATTTTTTTTACTGATCTCGATTAATTTTTTTCGATGAAAAATATGACTAAATCGTCTTTTCAAGCTGATTGATGATCAATAACTTTTTTTTATTATTTCGTAAAAAAAAATCAAATACCGATGTTTTCAAGCATCAATTAACACTAACAAGTTTATAATATTCACATGTAGATAGATAATAGAAGATTTTGACGATTTATAACAGCAGAATCGACAATATATACATGTTGGTCATCAAAAAAACTTGGCTCCGCAGTTGCCCAGACATGAAAAACTCTATAGAACCTGTATGATTGAGTTATTTGTATATATTCTGCTGACTTTTCTTACACTCAAAATGAACATTACTTCCGATGCAAAAGTATCCGCATAAGTATCGAAGCTGCCGGCAAATCATTAAAATTATTCTATAACTGAGGTAAAACTAAAAAGTTTTTCATATCTTGACTGTATTCTTGTTGTAGTACTTGGCAACAAGAAACAAACTTTGAGAAGCGGTCTGATTTTGTTTGGAGAAGGAAGAGTGAATGTAAGAGAAAAATGAAACAGATGTGATCTTTATGAATTATTAAAGTCAGTGATTAGATCGAAATTGGCACTATCCATAGAAGAAAAAAGAATTAAAAAAGTGAACGGCGAAAAACACGTTGAAATAGAAAAATGTGGTCGCAAGACGCTTTTACCGTTCTTTTGGAACGGAATTTCGTTATGAAAACCAGGTTCTGGTATCCTAAGAATACCACGTACTTTTAAAGAAAAAAAAACATAATTTTCAATTCTATCGTAGCCTGAAATGAGTTGCTTTACTAATCATATGCGTTCTTGGAGAACTGGTTCTTTCACTAGGGTGCTATTGTTCTTATTCAACGCGTTACACCTCGTCTTTTATTACCGTAGAGTAGATTCAGCCAAAAGAACTTGAACATCTCGTTAGACTATACATACACATCTCTGGTACAGGTATACTTCAACTTAACGAAATTTTTACAATGAGAAAAAATTAGAAATCTTATTTTTCTATTATTTAAAAATAAATATAAGTACTCTTTTTCTAGCTGATATTTTAAAATGAGCGAAGTTTATTATAATTAAGAATTATAATAAATATAAATTTTTCTCAATAATATTGAATTTTAAATATCTCTATATTTAGTGCATATTTTTTGTAATTCATGTTCAAAAATTAATTCGAAACGATTTGAACATATTCACTATAAATGATAGTAATATGTTCTGAAGCTATACGAACGCGTTCGAACTATTCATTTTCATACACCGGTTTTTTTGTACTGTTTCATACAGTATCTTGCAAGACTCAAAAATGTGCATAATTTAAATCTGTGCAAGATTTAATGCTTTGCACCTATTGTTCGAACTTTCATCAAAGACTCCGAAATCAACAGATTGTATTTTTGATATTAATTTATGATTGATCACCATATTATTATGAAAAATCATTTTTTTTCAAAATTCTAGCACTTGGAGTCCTTTCTCACCAGGATTCAATTGTTTATTTACTATTTCAATGACAATAATGTTGATTTTAAACAAAAGAAAGTAGGAATACTTTGTTTTGGTAACAAGAAAATTTTAGTAGTTTAAAATAGATTAAAATTTAATATTATAAAAAAACTATTTATAAAATCATATTGTCAATATGCATTTTCATTTTGTAAGTCTTGCTTTCGCAACTGTTGAAAAAATTAGATTCCTATCAGTTTCTATTTGAACACAACAGGCCTCAACATTTTTGAGGATACTTTTGCATCCGAAGTTATTATAAGACATCGCCATGTCATATAATTTCTAATAATATAGAAAATGTTTTGAGAATTTTTCTCATTCGCTATAAAATTTTCGTCTACATAAATTTTATAGAGCTTTTAACGACAAATATTTTAGAAAAAAAAGCTCAAGATTTTATTATTTGCCGAAGTCAAGATATATATGAAACAAAAATGTTACAAGAATATGTACATTCTCTATTCTAGTAAAAAAAAAATGTTATTTTTTTTTCTTTTGATAAACTTTTTATACTTCAAATTTTCTTTTACGTTCAACGCAAATATACCAAAAGATACAGCGCATTTCGGACTGTCTCCTCACACAAAATAGATTAAAAACATAGAGAAATAAAAAGGAAATCCAAGAATATAGAAATACTTTAAATCACAACAATGCTCTTTTTGCAGTCATATGTATTCATCTCTCTTCAATATCAAAGATAGATTATTTAATAATCATTGTTATGTCTCAATAAAAAAATAAGGTTATTTAGATCCAAAGCCGTGTATATCGAAAATCTTCTTAAAATAATGCTTCGTAGTTGATCATCATCAAAGAGTATCAATGTAGGTTCCTTCTTTATCGGTAGCTAAATCAACAATTACATCTACATACATATAGGATAAAAGAAAATCTATCGATAGTTTGTTTTGATTGCGTCAGATACATGTTAAAATCTGAGAAAAGTGAAGCAAGTAAATATAATTGAACCTTTCGCGGGAAAAAATGCATTTGGACTGCACAATTCGAATTAAGACTAACTGATCGAATTGAAAACACTTTTCAGATTCGCATTAAATATTCCTCTGTCAAAATTTATACTATTACATAATTATACAAAGGTCTTGTCAATTGTTTATGCTGAAAAAAGAAGTACACAGAAATCTAATTTGATTATAGATAAATAAAAAGATGCAAGATTGACATGCTATGTTTTCCAGAACGCCACACTAGCAAACTTCAATGCGCTGCGCATCAATATCAGACATGATAAACCTGTCTAGAATAATGTTAGAGACATCTAACAATTAATATTTGAATAAATATTATCTTGTGTCTAGTTAACTGTCCTCTTGTTTCTATAGGGATAAAAGAATTTATTCATCAGTCGCTTTTTTTATTTATGCATATGAAACATGTTATTAATAAGCGAATTGAAACATACACGAAGAAGAAATATAAAGTACTACTTTTTGATACTTTATAATTGAATTATAGTTTGTTAAAACTAATTTCTCATATGGTTGTGTTTTTCGAGAGTCGCTCTATATTGAGTTCCATATCAATTCGACTTTCTTGCCATTCTGGTAAACAATTTTGAAATATAGTTAACGCGTGTTTATAATAATCAATGACTAATATTGGTTTATTAAGATGTTCATAATATTGACCAATACGAGAAAAACTATCACCAATAGTTACTTGATCTAATGGTCGAAATTTTAGACGCATCAAACAATAATTGATTTCATGTACCAATGAAAGCTCACGATGATTTCTTTTTTCTTCCACCAGCTAAAGATAAACTAGCTTCTCTAATACATAGACATTTCTCGAAATATTCAGCAGCACGATCATAATCTGTTTTTGAATTCCAAACAAGATCGATCTCTCGTAAACAATTAGCTATTTCAATATGATTTGTAGGGCATTTTTCTTCGAATATCGTTATTGCTTATTGGTAATAATTAAGAGCATCATCATAGAGTTCTTGTTCAAAAAGTATATTACCTATTTCTTTAAGATTTTTGGCAATCATCAAATGATCAAAAGGTTTGTTTTCGTTCCGAATTCGTAATGCTCGACGTTGAGCATTCAACGCTTTATCGTATTGATGTTGGATTTTAAAAATTAAACTCATTTTCTCTAGTACAGTGATTATAGCTTCATAGTCAGATGGATCATCTTTTTCATAGTGTATTAATGCTTCTTGATAACATTCAATGGCTTCATCACATCTGTATCGCAGATACATCTTGTTAGCCAAATCAATGAGAGTCTTACTGGCATCTTGATGACTGCATAGACCACACTTCAAGTTGACTTTCAGTAATTTCTGTTGGAATTTGGACGCTTTACCATACTCTTTTCGTTCATTTAACATGTTTATGATACGATTAAGACATGAAATTGTACTAGCATGACCATTGGGATACAATATCTCATATATTTCCAATATCTTTTGCTCTGGATCGAGGATCTTACTATACTTTGTCGGTCGATAAAAAATAAAACTGAAATATTGTATAATATAATCATTCTCAACTTGATCAGATTGAGAGATTTGTTCTCTGGTGGACAATGCTTGTTGATAGACTTCAAGAGCTTTATCATATTCTTTTAGGTTTGCATGAAGTTGACCAATTTCTGTAAGATTATTTGCAATTTCGTCATGATCTGATGAACAATATTCTTGTTTAATTGTTAAGGCTCGTTGACGATAGAGAAGTGCTTCATTGTATTTTTTTTGATCTTCAAGTACATCAGCATTATTACTAAGGCAAACAATCATATTCTTATAATTAGATGAATAAAATTCTTCACAAATTGCTAAAACTTTTTGGTAGTTATCGAATGCTTCATTGTATTTTTCTTGTTTTCGGAGAATATTATCCATGTTGTTGAGACCCGATGCAATATATCCATGACTTGTAGTACATTGCTAATACTAGTGAGTAGACTAGCAATGTTTTCATATCCCAATGGATCGAATGTCTCTCTCATTTCTAATGCACGTTTATAAGAACAAAGAGCTTGGTCGTACTTTTTTTGTGCTAAGAGAATATGACCGAGTTCGTTAAGACCATCGGCAATTTTTAAATGATTTGATGAAAGATGAGTTTCTCGTATTTTAAGTGATCGATTTCGAAAATCGAATGCTTTAACATAATCTCCTTGTCGTTGAAATGTAAGACTAATATTACTGAGTAAAACAGCAATATCGTCATAAGCAGACGCATTGAATTTCACTGTGATATCTAATGCTCGTCGATAATACTGACGAGCTTCATTATATTTTTCTTGTTCGTTGTGAATAAGACCAATGCCGTTGACGTGACGAGAAATTTGCTCATAAGTTGATGGCAAGTGAGTTTCTCGTATGTTGAGATCTCGATCTAAGTAATGCAATGCATCATCATATTTTTTTCCATGCTTGAATTCATTGCTAATGGTAATAAGCATAATGACGATACCTTCATAATCAGTTGGATCGAATTTTTCTTTGATCTCTACAGCTCGTTGATAAAAACTAAGTGATTCATAGTGTTTATTTTGGTTGGAGAGTATAACGCCAATATCATTGATATTACGTACAATCTAGTGCTTCATCATATTTATTTTGCTCGTGAAAGATAATACTAATGTCGTTAAGAATACTGGCAATATGCTGATGATTTGATGGAAAATGAGTTTCACGCATTTTAAGTGCACGATTCTTAAAAGTGAGCGCTTCATCATATTTTTGTTGTTGTTTAAGTATCTCACCAATACTATTGAGTAAAGTAGCATTGTAACCATGATTAGATGGATCAGATGTTTCCATTATTGTTAATGCTCGTTGAAAAAATTCAAGAGCCTCATCGTATTTTTCTTGATCGAAAAAATTCTTACCAATTTCACAAAGTCGATCTACTATATTCATATAATTTATTGGTTCGATTTTTTCCTCAATTGATAAAGCTCGTTGTTGAAATTCAAGTGCATCGGTATATTTTTTTTGACTGCATAAACTACGACTAATCTTGATACAACTTGTAATAATTTGCTTATGAGTAGATGGTAAACATTTTTCTCTAATTGATAATGCACGTTGTTGATATTCGACAGCTTCTTGATATTTTTTTTGCAAATGCAGAACATCACTAATGTAACTTCGATAAAAAGCAATCTGTAACTGATCCAAAGGATAATAACTTCCCAATTTGACAAGTATTGAGTATGCTTGTTGATAATAGTCGAGTGATTCATCATATTTTGTTTGATTCATCAGTACGTGACCGATATTATTTAATGTTATAGCAATTTTGATATGTCCATTAGGATAATTTTTTTCTTGAATTCTTAACGCTTCTTTATAAAACTTCATGGCTTCATCATATTTCTTTTGACTGCAAAGTAGATTATCAATATTATTAATCGTATCAGCAAGATTAGGATGATCTGAATGATCATAATAATCTTTTTGAATTTGTAATGCTCTTTGATAATAATCGATGGCTTCATCCAATTTTTCTTGATTACATAGAATATTACCGAAACCCATCAAATTAAAAGCGATGTCACATCGATTATGTAAACCATGTTTTTCGACCACGATTGTTACTTGCTGATAGAATTTCAAAGCTTCATCATACTTTCCTTGTTCGGATAAAATAGCACCAATATTTTGAAGTGTAAAAGCTATATTCACATGACCTAAAGGATAATAACTCTTTTGCATTACTAATGCTTGTTTATAATGATCTAAAGCCTCTTCATATTTCTCTTGATTTCTAAGAACATGTCCAATCCATATGAATGTCTGTGCTATTTTAGCTTGAAATGATGGATGATACTCTTCTTCCATAGTCAGTGCTTGTCGATGAAAAATCATAGCATCATCAAATTTTTCTAAGATGTTCAAAACAACATCAATATTATGCAAAAGACAAATAATATCAATATGACCAGAGAAGAAAGATCTAAGTGTACAAAAATATTTAGACATATCGATATGATCATATTGAATAAATTTCTTATGCATTCGAAATGCTCGACAATGAACATTCAATGCCTCATTGTTTTTATCTTGTCCACCAAGACTATCTGCAATATCATTAAGTGTCAAAGGAATAAATACATGATCAGTGGGATAGCATTTTTCATAAATTGTCAAAGATCGTTGATGAGATTCGAGAGATTTATCATAATTTCTTTGTTCACGAAAATAATATCCAATAGACGACATACATTTAGCAATATCAGGATGAAAACTCTTGTAATATTTCTCCAAAATTGTAAGTGCTTCTTGAAAATATACAAAAGCTTCATCATATCTGTCTTTTTTATGGAATATATCTCCAATATTACGTAGACTATTAGCAATATGAGGATGATCAGAAGAATAATATTTCCTTCGAATTTGTAGTGCTTGTTCATGAAAATTTATGGCTTCTTCAAATTTTCCTTCTATATAAAGAAGTTTTTTTTTCATTGTCTTGTTTATTTTCGAATTGTTTTGTAATTGGCAGTACGATTATAGACACACAGTTCAATCAAACTGGATATCTAATTACTCATTTAATACTAAATTTGTGTACAAAAACTCATCGAATTTCTGTAAAAATCGGTCGAACAATGAACTTATACAAGTAAATAATTTCTTATATTGCTTTCTAAAAATAGGATATTGCGAAAGAATTCAACCTCGTGGGGAAATAATCAATGGAAACAAAATAAGAACAATCCCATAATGTTTGACCAACTTCGACTGATACGAGGGATTCAAAATCTTATAAATCTATGAGATTTTTTCTTAGGGTGTGAGGTGCGTGTCTGGGTGTGGGTTACAATAAGTTGATTTTACACCACTATCCACACCCCACCACGATCGTGGTGATAGATTGTGTTGTGATAGTTTCAAATTGATGTTTTTTCTCTTCTTTGTTTTTATCATTCATTTGCTTTTCTGTTTGAATCAAAGTTGTAGGTGTGGTACAGAGTTCATTGATGAAGTAGACTAGGATAGACTTGTTCTTTGCCCTATCAATCACCTTGATGTTGAGTTCAATTAAAAAAACTGCTTGAATTTGTCAATATGCCTTCTGAGTTGATAGGAGAAAAAAATTAATAAAGAAAAAACTCGTTCGAAAAATTAACGCAGAAAAAAAAGTAGTATAGTTCGTTTCAATTGTTGGTCAATTTCGTTAAAATAACAACGAAGATAATTTATGAAGTATTGCTGCGAACAATCATACGATAGTAGGCCCCACGTCGTTCCATTAAGTCTGCATGAGTACCACTTTCTACAAGGTATCCTTTGTCAAGAACGCAAATCCAATCACATGAACGAATGGTCGATAGACGATGAGTAATAATCAGTGAAGTTCGAGTTGGATCGTCTGTTTGAGCTCTTTCAAGAGCTTCTTGCACGATCTAAACATATTGGAAATGATTAGTTGGTTAATGCGCATAGTAAGAAAACGAACCTGTTCATTGTACGAGTCCATGGCACTTGTTGCTTCGTCTAGCAGCAATACTTTTGGTCGACGAAGAAGAGCTCGAGCAATGGCAATGCGTTGTTTTTCACCACCTGACAACTGGTCACCTTTTATGCCCACCTTGGTCTCATAGCCCTATTGCATGCGACGATGACACAATCAAATATCATGTGTTATTATTTACTCACTTGAGGTAACTGCTGAATGAAATCATGAATGTTAGCTTTGGTGGCCGCGTCGATAATATCTTCAATCGAAGTGTTCTCACTGCCATATGCTATGTTCTGAGCAATAGTCAAATCAAATAAGAGAGGCTCCTGACTAACAAGACCAAGACACGAGCGAAGCCATTGAATATTCAGTTGTTGAATGTCAACATCATCAAGAGACTAGATTTCATTAGTCGAGTATAGCGATGTTGCATTACACTTAGCATTAGCATTAACAGTTAACACTTATGCTTTGGCATTAATGGTATTAGGATTAATTAATGCTTAGGTGTTAGCATTAATGTAGCAATATTTTAATGCTAAAATATACATCCAGTGTCAGTTCTAGACTGGTACCTTGCCATACTACCTTTAACTTTTCAAGGGCTACCTGGTTGCATTCTTTGTAACTTTTTGAGGGCTACCAGGGGTTACTCTTTGCAACTTTTTAATGACTACGTAGGAGTAGTCTTTGTAACTTATTAGGAGATGCCTGGGAGCAGTCTTTGTAATTTTTTAAGGAGTACCTGGGGGCAGTCTTTGTACCTTTTTAATGGTTACCCAGTGGTACTCTATGTAACATCTTAAGATCTGCCTAGACGTACTCTTTGTAACTGTTTCTGCACTATGAGAAGATACTCTTTGTAACTCTGTAAGGAGCACCTAGGCGTAGGCTTCTTAACTTTTCAGCTGCTCTATGAACATTATAGCAGTAATTTTTTGAGAGCCGCTCAAATATAATGCATAGGTTTTTTTTATAACGGGTTGATTTTTCTGCAATAACGCGTTCGTTGATCTGGATTATGAAAATTTTCGGGCGTATTGTATAGAATATTCCCATGTAAAAATTTATATGGCCTAAACGCGTTTTCAAGCGCGTTTTAGATGCGTTTGAAACGCTATAAGAACGCGTCTGAACGCATCTAAAATGAAACACCTGATGCGTCTGAACGCGTCTGTCAGATGCATCTGGACGCGTTTCAAAAACGCGTCTAAGCGCGTCTACACGAGCGATGAAACATCTGACGTGTTCAAACGCGTTAAAAAATCCGAACGCATTCAAACGCATCTAGACGTCAGGTGAAACATCTGATGCGTTGGAACGCATCTGTTGGACTAGACGCGTGTGAACGCGCTCAGAAATGAGAACTCGTCCAGACGCGTTTCAAAAAATTTCAGAAAAAAAAACATCTTGTTCTCGCAGATTCGAACTGCGGCACCATCAGAACCACTTGATGGTCAGCTCTATCCTAGAGGCATAGTACAGAACAAGTTATTTTTAATTTTCGACACGTAGATGATAAGTGCGATGACGCAGGCTAGAACAGATGAACTTATTAAAGAACAAGCTACTTACATGTGAGCTATATTTGCTCGTAAGAGTGTATTCTCGACGAAGATATCTTTGTAATTGTTTCTAATAACACTTATTTCTAAGGCAGAATTCAGTCGATAATAAAAATATGCAATTATTTTTGGTTTTCTGGCTTTTTTTAAATAAAAAAAAAATAAATCTCTTGTTTCAATTATGCGAAACTGAAATTTTATTTTTTAACTCAGTATATATATTTCTTCGAAACAATTTACCATAGAAAAAAAATCAATTTATTATGAACTAGTTTGGTTTTCCGTTCATTAGTTAAACTTTGACAGGAGTTGTAAATTTTGTTCTCTTATCAATAAATGAAATAAAATCAGAAAGATGTTTAAAAAACCGAATGTACACAATTATTCCAGCTCGCTTGTATTTATACATTTATAAAAAGATGGATAAATAAAAGAAAAATTTTATTAAAAATCTCAGACTTGAATCATCCGAGTGACTTAACAAAACTTAAAGATAAAAATAAGTCTCATCATATTTCACGTAAGACGAAAAAAAATATAATAAACTATTACAATGTAAAATATAACCTTCATATTTCGAAGTATAATTATATAGAACTCAACTTAGCACATTCTATTTAAAGTTGAACAAAATATGGCTCAATATTCTAATAAACCTATTTATTATCAGTGTGAAGTAAGATCACTTCAATAACATCTAACAACATAAGATCGAGCCAATTTACAACAATATTCATCGATTTGTATTATAAATTTGGATAAAAAGTCTATAAAAAACGACGTTTCCTTTTCTCCTCATATACATAATATTCGTTGTCTTCAATAATACATGGTATTCATTGAGTTTTATATAATATTATTAAAATAATATATTACGTATATATTTTACTTAGTTTGCGTATGTTTATAGAAGAAAAAAAGAAATAAGAGCAAAAAAGACACTTTTAATTTCTTAGTAGACCAACAGAAAATTGATAATTGTACTATTATAGTTGACTTTCATCACAAATCTAATTAAGAAAAAAAAGACAAATGAAAGTAACCAAAAACAATTAAGACGAAAATATTATAATCTGAAATGATATCAAATACCATCTAATATTGTCAACTACAGCAAGATTAATAATAGCTAAATATGAAAATATTACGTATGACTAATATATATTAGAGAAATTAAGTATTGACCAACGTCGACATAAAATTGAGCTGGCTCGCAGTAATAAGCGTGAATCTATATTTTTATTTCATAAGATCAATAAAATCACGTTTAGTTAAAAAAATTATGCTTTTTTTCTACTCAAAAATAATTATAATCAGCATCCCAAAACTTAGATAGCATTCTTATAGTTTTATCTATAATCTCAAAGAACAAAGGTGAGTGTAAAAATTCGTGTAGTTCATATATATTTCATGCAATAAAAAAAATTAGAACAAAAGCTTGAACAGTTATATATTTATTGATTTGATAACTTTCATATCATAACCTGGCTTGGTACTTATTGTTTTGACTCAGCTGGATCTTATATCAGCTTTGGCCAATCTTAAAGTTATACCAATACATATTGAATATATATATATATAATATTTTCATATTCATTCACAACTCATACAGTTATATGTTGACATTATTAGGTTGTAATTCATGTTTTTCAGTTTCATAATACTCTCGACTTAATTATTTTTGTTATAACTTCATTGTTTCTCCTTTTGATTTGATTTGTGTAGTCTAATAGTCAATTTCCAATTTCTTGTGCAATAATTGGAAAACGAATAATACCTGTTTCTGTTCGTGTATTCTTTTTCTCGTTTAAGGATCTGTAGAAGAAACAGAATATTCAGGTTTCATATTTTCCCTTTACACAGAGCTACGTAGAACCCTAAGAATGTTTTTATTATATGCTTTGCTGATGAATTAGATAAATCTTTAAACACGTGTAGTTGCGATTGTACACGAATTTTAGTAATCAGAAACAGAAATGAAAGCTTTTTCTAAAGGACAATGCATAAAGTATTGGTTAGAGAAATAAAAATAAACGTAATAATGTGTATTATGCTCATTATTTATTTCGTGACTTAACGATTTTTCGTTTTCATAGTATTCATTAGCAAATATATTGTTACATGTATTCCATACAATATTGCATAAAAAATATTTATGTGCTTCAAATATGCTGTATGTATCTATAGACATTCATGAATAATGCTTTCTTAGCTTAAACAACTCGTGGCGTGACTGTTTTTTAGATGTCTAATGTCTAGACATTCTTTTATCTTTAGTCATAAGACATGATAGCAGTTCGCCCATTAAGAAAGAACAACGAATAAAATAATTTTATTTCTTTGTGTCTTATGATCGCTTATTCTTTGTCACCGGAATTAACCTCAGAATCAATTAAGATTGAATTTTTTCGTGCAAATTTTTAGATTAGGCAACGATGCAAATCTATTGAAAGTCTTGCATCAATAACATTATCAGAGATATATTCTTAAAGGCACTTTTCAATATTAAAGCTTTCGGTTTTATGCAAAAAAATCAATGAATAGAACTTTGGATAAGAACCTTCTCTTAAAAAGCTCTTGTCCAATAGTCATTACTTAATATCTTTGAATAACCGTTCGATAGCATGTAATTCTAAATCTATACTATAAAAATTCATGCATGCATAGTTCCTATGAAACGAAAAAGAATAAGTTTTCTCAAATGAGCAATTTTTATATTCAAAACAAGAAAAAATTTATCTTTATTAAAAATACCAACGATGACGTGAAATATTAATCTTACATATACTTTCCTTTTCCTATATAATAATTCAACTAAGTATACGTTAGTGCAGCAATTATTTCATGAAAGAGACCATATATGAGTGTTTTTCTCGTCAGAAAATCGAGAAAAATCAAAAATGATTTCTTTTTTCTAACATTGAATGTTAGTGGAAATTTTTTCAAAAACGAATTATCGCTACCATTTAAACATTATTTTTCTACACTAAAATCACTTGCCACTTCGTGCAAATTACATGCAGCAGTTTGTTTTAATTGAATATATTATTTTAAAATTGACTTTTACATTTCACAAGTGTTACAAAAACCATTACTGTCTTGCATTTAAGACCTGAATACAGGTGATCAAATAAACTCAGAGATGTTTAATATCATTTGTCGTTTACAATTATGAGACGCGTTTCTAGATGCGTCTTCATGCAATCGACAATTCAAACGCATCCAACTGCGTTTCTAAAACGCGGGTGAACGCAATCGTTTCTACAAACGCGTTCCATTGCGTTTTTACCTTTAAAGTCGTGAAACGCGTTTCTCATTTGGACGCGTCCAGATATACATCACGAGTTTCAACGCGTTCAGATGCGTCCCTTGAACGCGGTTGAACGCACTCATTATTGCAAACGCGTTTAACTGCATTTTCACTTTTAAAATCGAGAAACGCGTTTGTATTTTAGATACGTCTAGATGCGTCCACCAATCTAAACGCATCCAGATGCATCTCTAAGACGCGACTGAACGCGTTTTGCTCATGTTTCTTAACGTTGCTGCGTCTGCACACGTTTAAAACGCGTTTGAACGCATCTAGTCTGCGTTTCACTTTTACATGGGTATTTCATTGTATTTTCATGTAAAATATTCATGCTTGCATAACTATGCAAAAAACTATATGAGTGTATAGTAAGGAAGTACTGCAAAGCTACAGCTGATGTTATTTTTATAGGAATCAGACGTAGCTAGCTTGCGTTCGTACTTTGATTTGGAGTATTGTACTATGCTTTGATTGGATAAAGTCGCATCGGAACAAATGCAAATTAATAAGAGAATGTGAAAATCTATGAAAAAATTTTGGCGAAAAGTAACCAAGCATTCGTTAACTTTGTTGTTTTTGATGTCACTAGTTTGATTTCTAAAGATTCTTCGTACAGAGTTCACTCGAAAAATATCATCCCGAGGTTCGTCATGTATGATGTACAGATTCTAGTAAATCGTGAGCTTTAATTTAAAGGATTGTACCAAATGACCTTCAGCAAAGTATACGTATTGTTTTTCTAATAAATCAATATGTTCATCGGTATGCCATTCGAATCGCTTCCTTATGGATAAAGCGAAATGAGTCATCCTTTTCAAATGTTTTCCAGTATTGAGAATTTTTTTCTATAAATGTGACGCGAAAAGATCAAACTTCCTGTTACTCTAAATTTTCTCTATCAGTACTACCCTTCTTTGTGATGGCAATATCATATTCGGATGCAGAATCAAAAATCTATCGTATGGATATGTACCTCTGATTTCTTGAAATATCTAGTTCAATTGATAATAATAGCAAAATATATATGAGTCTGCTTGCTTTTTATGTTCAATCTGAACATGATATTATCATCACAAAGAAGCGTAGTTCTGAGTGAGAAAATCTAGAGTAAAGAGAAGTTCGATCTTTTAGTGACACATTTAGAACGCAAAGTTTTCTTATTGGTGGAAAAAGGTTGAAGAAATCGATTCATACTTCTTTATCTACAACGTGGCAATTCGATTGGCATACAAATTAATGTCTTGTCTTATTCCAACAACAATAGGTAAACTTTCTTGAAAATCACTTGGTACAATCAGTTAGAGTAAAGCTCATGATTTCTTAGAACTCATATCTCGAACATCGCAAGACAGATTTCTTTCGTCCTGTCTTTCCTACTGTGGAAGCTATCATCCAGGGTCCTGCTTTTCAAAACACAGAGTAGAAATCAAAAGTTTCGCCCTGCAACCTGCCTGCTGGATGGTCTTTTGTCCTGAATGTTAACAAGGATAAAAACTCATATGAAGATACGGTACGATGTCAAATAGTATAAAAGCACTAATTAAATAAAATCATTTACAATAATTTTGTTAATAAACTTGATCGCCCATATTTCTACACAAAATAATTAACAAAAACGATTGATATGCACAAGATGAACAAAAGAATAAGAGAATAGCGGTAAAAGTTCAAGATTGATAATCTGATCGATAAAAACAAAGGAAAATAAGAAAGGAAATAGATGTGTAGAGTAGCTTGTTCTTTCGTACTCTGTATTATAAGTAAGAAAAAAAAGGTCCTATCTGTGTACCTCATCATACTGTGTAAAACTTCAATCCTCACTCTACCCTAATCTGTGGAACTTTAACCATTACCTTATTCTACATGTTTTTGTGTAACTCTCCCTTCTAAAATCTTAGTTCGAGAACTCTAAACGTCATAAGCAGCAATATAATTTCAAGAGCAGTTGCAGAGTGTAAGCTTTTTTCTCACTCTGTGGTCGAAGAAAAATGTCTTCTAACCCTACCACTATACTACCCTCGAAGATGCTCCCCATTATCCTACTGTGCTGTATTGATTATGGTACGACAGTCTAACAGCTCTGTGCTTCAGTGTTCTACAGGTCCTTCCACAAAAGTCGTCCTTCAACTCCTACATATGCAGGAAGAATGAAAGACAAAACCACTTCTCTCCAGAGCAGCTACTGTGACGTTCCACTATCTGTACATACTATGCGACAAACTTAGGGGCAACATTTTTCTAGAGTGAATTCTATGCAAAGAATCTCTATAAATCAAAGTAGTGAGACTAAAATTAGAACGCTAGAAAATCATCGATTACTTTTTCTAAGATTTCTTCACAGACTTTCGCATTCTCTGAACATGTTGCATTCGTGCCGATCTAACTTCGTTCAATGAAAACATTATACAACACTTGATATCGAAGTGTGTTACACCAATGAGAGATGCCGCCTTGAAAAGTTACACAGAGTACTCCCAGGTAGCCCTCAAAAAGTTACAAAGAATGCCACCAGGTAGCTCTTGAAAAGTTAAAGGTAGTATGTCAAGATAGCAGTCTAGAACTGACACTGGATGTATGTTTTAGCATTAAAAATAATGCTACATTAATACTAACACCTAAGTATTAATTAATCCTAATACCATTAATGCCAAAGCATAAATGTTAACTGTTAATGCTAATGCAAAAGTATTAGCACTATTTTTTTATTTAATGCTAACACGACATCCCTAACCGGATGTTTACACAATATGTTGACAGAATAAAAGAGAAATACTCACGACTCGACCTTGTATGGGATCATAAAATCGTTCCAAGAGTTGAATGACTGTCGATTTGCCACAACCGGATGCACCTTTGCAAATAGAGTTGATAACCGTTTTGAATGAACAACAAATGACTTCGACATACCTACAAGGGCCACACGTTGGCCTGATTGACAAATAGAGAGATTTAATCGAAAACTAAACTGAAAATACACAGAATAAGCTCACCAGGTTTGATCATCAATTGAAGTTTATTCAGAATCCAGGATGTTGGCCGAGATGCATACGCAAATTTGACTTGATCAAATGCTATCTTACCTTTGAAATCACTCTATTATCAATATATTTTCACAATAAGATAAAATTAATCTGTTCAAAACTCAAACTTTTACTAAATTAATTACTCACCAATTGTTTACCATTCGTAGAACTGTTGTCGATGGCTGGTATTCGGTCGAACAAATTGAAAAAACTTCGAGCTGCTGACAATGAATCAGTCATCTGTCACATTCTGAATAAGAGCACTTGAAGAAAAGAAACCAATCGATGCAATGACTTACAAGATCGAGATGAATCGCAGAGATTCCATGGAGAAAGTATAATAGGCAAACATGCTAGAAATATATGCAGGTAAAATAGATCTTAAAGCTTTCTATTTGTGTACATAGAGATATTGTTCATCTTTAGCTCATTGTGTTCAACAAGGATGAGGGCTTGCCAAGACAGAAACAACAAGATGAATGATGCCGTCCCCCAATAGATACTATATAGTAACGAGGATATTATTACATGATTTCGACGAATTCTATGGAAAAATAGTACATAGAGATAATGAAGAAAAAAACGATTGAAAGACCGACTTGGACTCTTTGAGAATTAAATGTGAGAATTGACGTACGAATTCTGCCTCGCTTGCCAACTGCTTCACTGTACGCATATTGTGAATGATCTCGACCGCGAGCTATTAGTAAAAGAAGACTCATTATCAATGTTTCAGTGTAGATGATGTTGTAATGGAAATGTTGGTCTTACTGAACTTGCTAATTCAAGAATACAATTAGAACGTTTGTTCAATCGTGCTTGCCAACGTATTTGCATGAAGGCAATAACAAATAAAGAGACAATATAGAAGAGTGCGATTAAAGTCAATTGCCAACTGACCAAAACTCCGAGAACAATACCAATTCCAAACGTTGCAATTGATTCACAAACGATGCCTAGACGACTACCAGCCATCTGCTGAATAGCCAATGCGTCAGATGAGAGACGATTACAAATAGCTCCAGAACTATTTTCAAGACGGTCAAAGAAAGCCACTTCTTGACGTAGAAGGTGTGAAAAAGCTTTTGCACGAATACGTTCCGTCAATTTTGAGCCAGATACAGCAAATGCAGTGTACTATTGATGTAGAAAATATGAAACGCTTTATAAGTATTATTCTTACTTGTATAAAACGAATGACCAAAAACGCAAAACCCATTGACAAGGCGAGAAGAGAAAATTTAAAAACTTGATGACGTTGTTCTTCGTATGTACACGCTCCGAATGACTGTAAACAACCAATTACGACGATATTGATCGTGTTGTACAATAAAATGACTTACAGAAATTGTATTTGTGAGTAGAATGACCTGGATTGATTGGCCTGCTCCACAAATGAGGCACGCCACACAGCCGACGAGAATGATGATCCACTCTGGACTGTTCAACAACAATAGTCGCAAGAAAACAGGTATTTGATTTGTAGTTGATGACGTCTATTTAAAGTACAATGTAATTGCAAAAAGCCTCTCTGCACAAGTATATTCATGTTCGTTACTTTGTCTTCATCATTAAGTTCATTATAGCTATGATGTCCAGCACGTTCCGCTAGTTGAAAAAAAAACTGATCGCTTTCCATGTGTCGTTTTGTTAAAAGTATTTACGTACATATCTGCTTTTGATCATCTTCTTCTATTTGCGTGAGGCTTGTTGTTTCATCGATATCATTTTCTATTTTTATTTTCTGTTGAGCTTTCATCATTTCACGATATCGACTTCCTTGTTTGGACATCAATGTCTCGTGTGTACCTTGCTCGATGACACATCCATTATCCAACACATAAATGCGATGTGCATTTTGAATTGTTCCCAAATGATGAGCGATTACAATAGTTGTTCTTCCTATGTGTAACCATAGATAATATAATTAAAACAGAATGATGCGTACGAACCTTTACAAGCTCGATCGAGTGCTTCTTGAACAATCTTTTCACTGGTATTATCAAGAGCACTTGTTGCTTCGTCCAATAAAAGCAAGGCTGGCTGCTTTACAAGAGCACGAGCCAAAGCCACGCGTTGCTTTTCACCGCCACTCAATTGAACACCATTTTCACCGACGATGGTATCATATTTCTACAAAAATAGAAAATACAGAGCATGTCATTCGAAAAGAGCAGTCGATTTTAACATTCGGTAATTGCATAATGAAATCGTGTGCATCGGCCTGACGTGCTGCTTCTTCGATCTCGATTCTTGTTGCATTTTCTTTACCAAAGCGAATATTTTCATAGATACTTGTCGCAAATAGAATCTACATAAAACAACATTAAGTGCAAAAGTCACAACACACACAGAGACTGATATACAGGTTCTTGATTGACTACACCAATCTTTTGTCGGAGTTTTTTCAAATTGAAATCTCTTATGGATCGATCATTAATTGTAATGCAACCAGATGATGTTTCATAAAAACGAAGTAAAAGTGAAAAGCATGTGCTCTTGCCTGTTCACTCAACAAAGAATAGATTATCAAACTGCGATTTGTTTTTTTTTGCGAAATACCCACCAGAGCCACTTAGACCGACTAAAGCTGTTATCTCACCTGCACGAGCCGTCATTGTGAGATTTCGTAGGACTAAGACATCAGGTCGAGCTGGATAAGCAAAGTTGATATTGTCAAATTGAATATCACCATTCATGCTTATAACTTCTTCACAAGTAACCGAATCTTGCAATATTTTTGTCTCATTCATACTTGTCTTCTCTTCCTAGACGACGTAATAGAGAAGAGATCAGATGGTACATGAAACAAAAATTTACCTCGTCGATCAAGCGGAATATGGGTGCTAAAGCACCTCGTGTTTCTTCCAATGATTGAAAGAAAGGACTAACAAAGCCAAGATGACTGATAACTTTTGCTAACATAATCACTATCTACTCAAACATCGAGAATCGATGGGTTTCGAAAGTCTGATTTATGAACTGAATGGTTTACCACAAGAACATCACTGAAACAGATTATGTTACGTGATGTATGATGCATGAGAGATAAGCCGTAGATGAAGCCAACTGAATAAATGATGTACCCTATAAGAGAGATCCATCCAGTGAATAGGCCAAACATGGCACCCTTGCGTACACTGCTCCAACGAGTTGCTTGTAATTTACTTTCGTATCTACATACACAATAAAATTCGGACATGGCCATCGCTTATGGCTTACAAATTTCACTTATAAATATATATACTCCTTACCGTTTTACTTCAAAATTTTCACCATTAAGTGAAAACACAGTACGAAGAGAACTGAACACTTCCTGGACGACTTCTCCCGCTTTGGAGTACGTATCCAATTCGTTTCTTGATTCTCTTGCAGTGAACTTTTAAAATTAATATAAGCTAAATCAATCATTAGCAATTGCATCTACCTTTGAAAAAGCATATAATCCGGCAATAGTTAGTGGCACAATGCACAGTATGATAAGTGTCAACTTCCAATTGATGATTAAGGCAACACAAGCACTGCTAATAGTGGTACATAATGCTACGAGTACCATTGACAATTCAAAACCGATACCTTCACTTAAACGATCAATGTTGCTATGAAATGAGAGAGCCAGATATAGTTTCTATTTCAAATATCAATCGACATAAAATGGCTTACTTGAACAGTTTGACATTGAACTGACTAATCGAATTCATATCATAATAGGAAATATTCTAGGAACGAAAGAGACAGAGAGAAAGGGAGAAACGATCTACATGTACAAAAATCAATTATCATGAAGTTGTAACGGGCGCAACTGAATAAATAGTTCCTTCATTATTCTTCGATAATTTCATTGATTATCATCGCTCGGACTTGTCTTCTTTTTCCGAAATATGCGCTGTGTAATTCTCCACCAAATGATATATTTTATTTGATGAATATAGTCTTCATTTTTCAAAGGTCATAGAACTGTATGGAGTCATTAAGTATAATTTTTATATCTTTTTTCGTTTTTCAATTTTTTGCTTGTCAAATTTTAACTTCTACAATATTGAGACTTGTGTTGTGATTCTCCCAGAGGTTGTAGATTTTTTTCCATGAACGAACTCATCTTATATGGGACCCATTTTACGAAATTCATTGAAATTATGTACTGTGAAAGCATCACGAAATAAACCACGACAGTGTAAGAGTTTAAATGCTACAGGAAAAAAGCTCAAAAAAAAACAAAATTGTTTGAACATTGTTCTTAATGGTTCCGTACAGTTCTCACATCAAAAACCGCTTGAAACCGTCACCAACCGTGACAGAAATGCTGAACACTCCGAGCAATATTTGTCACGGTCTGTGAGGTACAATGAAGAGGGGGTCACTTTTCTCGCAATTTACTTAAACACTAATTTCCAATCGTGGTTCACAATATCTTATTGTGTAGAGAATTTCACAATTCTGCTTTCAGAAAAAGTACTACTCTGAACGATGATAATCAATGGAGATATTGAGAAAACAATGAGGAGGCCATATTGTTTTCCACCCATCATATTTGCGTAAAGATGTATGTGTTTGACATACGCGTTGTAGCAGTGATTGTAAAAGACGAATACGTATTCGAGAGGTCTGTCGTTTGGCCGCCACGGTGAAAACAAAGTAACGAAGAGTAATGCACACTAATTGAATTATACCGTTGACTATGTTTATTCAAGATGCAAATCGTTATTTTGTTTGATGCCTGAAGAATCAAGTTATTTCTGCTTACTTAATAGCCAGCGCAATGTGTTTCTCACACCAGCATCAAGTTTGGGCGTATACAACGGCCACAGTGGCGCTAAGGTAGTATCCTTATTCAGACAGATTCTGAAATCGATGAACAGTGAATAAATATAGAAACTGAAACACACCAGCACTTTACATGATCGTGACTTACTTTTGTGATCGATCATAGCTGAAAGTATTTCTCTCAGAACGCCATGAACTTTCTCTGCTATTGTTAACAGTAATCGATGCGCTTTGCTGTAGAGGACATTGCTCAATCAACAATTGCGACACAAATGTACTTGTAAGTTGACCGAAAATAACCATAAGTGCTGTGAAGGAAATGCTATGTAGTAAGATGAAGCATAAGCCGAGAGCTATCATCAGACGATCAAACCAATCAGCAAAACGAAACTATCGTTAAGTTAAACAAACATTCCGTTGTTCAATAGCTATTCTCTCTTGATACACTTACTAGTTGAAAATATCCAATAATTGGCTCAGTTCTAGTATGATCATTATCACCATCCAACGTTTCATACTGTCGATCGAGTTGTTTGCAAACGAAACATCGAAGCCAATCGGACAATCTATATGAATACAAAATTACTGCTGATAACTTTCTTAAGTTCAATACTATCTTACTTGTTAATAGACGATCGTTTTCTATTCTTATTACTATCATCAACAGAGTAACGGCCAACACCAGATATTAGAGGCTGTGTATCACTCATGACGTAATGCACAATATTGCACGATTGATAGTAACCGAAAATGAAAATACCTAGGCAGCACAACACAGTTATTGTGTGCGACTTGTTGGACTTGAATGTGGATGCGCCTTTCGCATAAGATAAGATGAGTCCACATCCATGAGCACAAAATATTTTGATTTATATACCATTCGATAGAGAAGACAATTCTCTATACACCAATATGTATTAGAATCGAAAATAATATTGATAGAACCTCGAAAACTTCAAAACACCTGTTGTCCTATGGGTTTTACAGAGAACTTCAGTTTTTTTAGGTTTGATAAAATGAAAACGCAACTCACAATACATTACTCGATAGAGAAAACCAAGCTGAATCGAATAATGTCTTTGGTTCCTAAAGATCGTTACGCAGAGTGTCCCAAAAACCATCTAACAAAAACAAAATTGTATATTTCCATTGAGGTTTCACCGAGCGAACTGGTGTTTGTTTTGTGGATAAAGGACACTTGCACGTTTTATTTCATAAATATAAAGTTCATAAGCACTTCTGAAAAGTGGCACTTTTAGACTCAATATCCAAAAAGAAGTCCTTTTTTCGAGTTTCAGTATATAATGTATACGATTTTTTGCAATTTTTCCAAGTTTTTTTTCATTATTAAGGACTTTTAGTCATCTAAGTCTCCTTCTCTCGCTTTAAAAACACTTATTTAACGGTTTCGAAAAATATAGAATGCTTAGTGCATTTCTTCAAAGTAATTTATTCCTCGCTCATAAAAAATATCATAGAAACTGAACTACGTAAACTGGCACAACTTTAGAGCTTCTGTTGTCTCTAAGTTTGACATACATATGTCTAGTTTTTTGCTAATTTCAAAGAAATGCTTAGATAACAAGAGAAGGAAACATAAACGCTTAAAAGTTTATAATAATGAAAAAAAACTTTGAAAAATTAGAAAAAACTCGTATTGTTTTCCAAAACCTCTAAAAAGGACTTTTTTTGCGTATTGTGTCTATAAGTGTCACTTCAAGAATGTTGATGAACTTAATAATTATGAAACAGATATTCGAAGTGTTTTCTATTGACAGAATAAAAACCAGTTCATCTGGTAAAATTCTAATGGATACGTACAATTTTATTTCTGGTACATGACTTTGAGCACATTCTCTATAAGAGACATTAATTGCTCATTATAATAAGTATTTCATACAGGTTTTCCGATAATCTCGGTTTTTATGGAACGAGATGGAACCGAAAGTTTCTCGAATGACACAGACTCACGGAGAATCAAATTCTTTACAGAATGGGATGTTTGTGTGCACGATAATTATATTTCCTGAATATGATAAGAATCTCTCTGTCCAAGTACAATTTACAATGGAGAAAGATGAGAAAAAAATATTTTCGTTGTGTTATTTTATATGCACGGCGTGCTGATATATATATATATATACCTTTCTCTCCTTCATTCACTAGCTCAGCGTATATAAATGGACAGAACGAAAAAACTTTTTCTTCGTTCTTTCGTCACTGTAAACTGTCCTTGAAAAGAGAGGCACTTATAATATTCAGTAAAAAATTATTATCTTGCGCCCAAGCACATCACTTTATAGAAACTTTAATTCTCTGCAAGTTTGTATCGTCCGAAAATCTTTTGAGTTTGATTTTGCTCTCTAAAAACCAAGATTATCGGAAGATCTATATGAAATACTAATTGTAATTAGCAATTAATGTGTCTTATATGTAATGATTTTTAGAAATCAAAGATATGAACCCATGCATTTTGATTTTCTCTATCGAACAAGGCATTTTGAGTTACGATTTCACTTCATCGAACCTGAAAAACTTAAGTTCTCTGTAAAATTCATAGGAGTGCAGATATTTTGAAGTTTTTGAGATTCTTTCAGTATTATTTTCGATTCTAATACATATAAGCATGTAGAGAATTATTCTCTTTATCGAATGATATATAACTCAAAAATATTGTGCTTTAGAATAAAGGCAACACAAAAGAAAATAACAGGTACCTAAAGAATTCTTTTTGCATAGGAAATGAAGGAGTTTATAGAAAACCTTTTTAAGATAATTATTTTTGTACAATAAAATAGGAACTTCGATCTATCGGATGGTATTATCAGAGTTGAGAAAATGTTTTTTCTTCTTTGTAAAATTTGCTTCGCAAGACAAGTATTACAGGGTGTTCGAAGAATTATTTTACATAGTGTAAACTTACTCGTTAAAGTCGTGCAAAATCTTGTGTGTCCACTCCCAGAACAGCACTGTAATCTATCGACGTTGTTTTATGCAGGAGAGCAACGTATCGTATTGCTTATTTATACGTTGCGAAATAAATTTTAGCTTTTGCGCATGCGTGGCGATATATATGGATTAATAGAACATGAAATAATAATCACATGCTACGCTGTTTCATACAAATATTATCGTCGTTTTGCTTACACTATTTTCCTTCA